GCACGGTGATGGGCACCTGTAATCCCAGCTATTTGGGAGGCAGAGGCAGAGAATTGCTTGAACCTGGGAGGCAGAGGTTGCAGTGAGCCAAGATTGCGCCACTGCACTCCAGCCTGGGCGACAGGGCAAGACTCCGTCTAAAAAACAAAAATATTATATCCTCTTGCCTAGAGAATATCAAGCTTCAGGTGGTCATGCACCAAAGGTTCCAGCCAGTTTCAGGTGAAGACACCACCCCTGGCCATCAAGAAGCTACCCTGACTCCACTATACACAATAGTGCAAGAGTTCCATGATCCCCAGTAGGTTGGGACTACATCCCAAGCCAGCATGAAGCAGTTATAAGAGAAAACCATCAGTCCCTCTGCCTCCCATACAGATTTATGGAATTACATCTCTCAGGCAGGAGATGAGGGAGGAAAATAGGGTCTGGAGGCAGGGAACATAAGGCTGATTCACACTTCGGCTGTGATAGGAAATATCTTCTCCATAGTATGTACGCCATAAATGACTTTGTAACTTTACTTCATCCTTTCCATGTACAAAGGGCAGACCCAAAGTAACCAATAGAATCCTCTAGGGGTATTTAAACTCCCCAGAATTCTGTAACAGGGCCCTCGAGCTCTTATGCTTGGGCTGCTCCCACACTGTGGAGTATACTTTCGTTTTCAGTCAGTCCCTCCAGCCCTTCCTTGCTTTGTTTGTGCATTTTGTCCAATTCTTTGTTCAAGACACCAAGAACCTGGAAACCCTCCATCATTAACAAAATGATATTATATTATACACACTTGTAAATTGCTTTAAAAAATTTACTTAAAATGTCATGTCTTTATGCAAGTGCATGTTAGTCAGTAACATTTACAGCTAGTGCTCGACTTACGACCCCGATTGGGACCGGTAGACCGGTCATAACACGATTTGGTCATAAGTTGAGTAGGCTATATGTACAGTTGAAATGGTGCACGCGGAGATGGTAGTGCTGCCGGAAGCTGGTCCGCACTGTCGTACGTCCAGCTGGGCAATGTTTGCGCTGCCAGACGCAGAGCAGTCGTGGCTAGCGATTGTGGTCATAAAGTCAAATGGTCTTAAGTTGCATAGGTTGTAAGTCGATCAATACCTGTACTGGCTACCTGGTGTTTCTTTGCATGGATGGAGCATAACTTAGTTACTGTGTCTGTTCTTGTTGTTGGACATTTAGATGTTTACAAGTTTTGGTTGTCATAAACAATGTAAAAACCTTGTGGTGAAATCTTTGCATATATCCTTAATTGGTTCTTTAAGGTAAACTTTGAGAAGTAGAAATGCTGGATCAAAGTTAATGCACTTTAAAAATAGTGTTGTCCTATGTCTTGACAAATTGCTTTCTGGGAAGGTTATGTCAACTCATATTCCCAGGAGCAGAGAAATTGGCCCTGTTTTTAAATAATGCCAGTGAAAGGATTTCTGTAATCATTCACTACAGGCAGAATTTAATGTCTGTCTCCTATAAAACCCGATCTATTAATTTAGCTATTAACATTCTACAAGTAAACTAGCATTTCAGCTAGTATACAGTCATTGAGGCTTAGATCTGCTAAGGACATTGCAGTCATCGGCATTCAGAACTTGACAGTAAATCATAATAGTGATAATTAAACTCAAATTTGAGTGACTTTGGCTAAATGCTTTAATCTCCATTACTTTTAGTCACCTCATAAATGGATGTAATAAGAGAATCTATACTATAGAGTTGTGTGTAGATTAAATAAGATAGCTTATATAAAGTGTGTAGCACATGGCCTGGCACAAGAGAAAGTGTATAAAATGTTAGTTACTATATTGACTAAGAAAAAAATTATTGAAAGTCAAGCTAATCTAGAAATAGAACAATTCTAAGTAATCTACATAGATTAGACATTCAAAAACATTGGCTGAACTAAATTGAATTTGGGGGGATATATCAAGTCAATAAAGCTTTCTGACACCTGAGTGAATGCAAGACCTAGTTCCACAGAAAAGTTGTAAGGAATAGGAAGATGATGAGGTATGGTCTTGTCTTCAAATAGTATACAATCTAGTAAGGGAGATAGGGCAAATACCAAGAAAATTAGAAGCACTAAAAAAGATTAAAGGAGGGATAAATCCCTTCTATCTCTGAAGATCAGGGGATATTTTATGAAACCGTAAGTGGCTTTTAAACAAGTCAGAACTTAATAGTAAATGTATGGGGAGAGCATTCCAGGAGGAGAATGTACCCAGTAGTTTGAGAAATCTTGGGCTGTGTGCAGAATTACCCAGTTGACTAGAGTAAGAGGATCCCTAGTGAAAGGTAGATCAGGTCAGGTATAGTGGGTGGAATGGTAGAGGTTGTGAGTGCCTCCAGGACAGAGATGGAAAGAGAAACTCAGGAATCTATGAGGGTGGTTCAGATGTGATATGATAAAGACCTGAATAGGGAGGTGTGAACGTTGAGATAGAGTTCGCAGGATTGGGGCATCATTAGGGGAGCTTTCCAAAACTCTGGGTCCGCAATTAGCTCTTGCTGTCATCTCAACAACTAGCTGCCTCAGCCAATTTGCATAACTCTCTTGGGGTCAACATCTTCTTTCCGCTTTCTCCCTTCCTTCCTTCTTTTTCTTTTCTTTTTTCTCTCAGCTGAGTCAGAGGTCAAAGTAAGGGCAATAAAGGTGACTCAAAGTACCCTTCAAACATGGTGTAAATCTTATGCTTCTTGATTAAAATAATACTGAGCTGATGTAATAAGAGGACAAGAGTGGGGTAACTTCTCTGTTGCCTTTTGTTATTGCTGGTTTTAATTAGATTTTTTTTTTAAACTTTTCATTTTGGAATAATTTTAGATTCATAGAAAAGTTCCAGAGGTAGGACGAAGAATTGCCATCTACTCATCTACCCAGTTTCACTATGGTTAACATTTTAAGTTACCATTATATATCTATCAAAATTAAGATATCAGCATTACATATTACTGTTAACTGAACTGCTAACTTTCTTTGGATTTTACTAATTTTTCCATTAACTCCCCTTTTTTTGTTCTGGGTTCAATTCAGGGTACCACACTGCATTTAGTTGTCATGTGTCTCCCCAGTCTCCACTAGTCTGTGACAGTTTCTCTGAGGCTTCCCTTGTTTTTCTTTACCTTTGCAGTCTTAAAGAGTGTTAGCCAGATATCCTGTGTAATGACTCCGGTCCGGATTAGTCTGATGTTTTTTTTCATGAGTAGACTGGGGTTACGGGTTTTTGGAAAGAAGACCACAGATGTAAAGTCCCTTTCTAGTCAAATCCTATTAGTAGGTACATGATATCCATTACAGTTTAGAAAGTTGAGTTTATACTCACTTACTGTGTGTCTCAATGTACTATGTCCCTGTACAATGTCAAGAATTCATTGTTTTTTGCTTCTTCACCTTTTTTGAGAGAATGATGGATTTGTAGGGAAAATGCAGTGAGCTTCTGGGGTATTGGGACTCAAGATGTAAGAGTTGAAGTTTATGAGTATTAGATGTGGTGGTAGACACTGTTGGGCCCTCCTCCAGGCTTCATTTTCCTCTGGGTGCAGCCATCTGCAGCTGTTGCAAGTGCTGCATCTGATAGCTTTACCTGTGACTTTCTCTGGGAAATTGTCCTTGGCTGAGTAAGCCACCTCACTCTGAGATGCTTGAGCAGTTAATACCCCCTATTTCAAGCCCTGAGAATTGGCCAGTGACAAACTCTTTGTGAGTATAAAAGCCCAGTTCCCTTGCCTTAGAGATGCAATATATGGTCTTGTTTACAGCCCACCCCTGCCTGAGGGTGCGGGCAGTCAGGCCAATGCTTGACATTGCCTGAGACCCTTGCTCAAATCTGTTCCTTTCCCTAATTTGGTTCTTTGACTCTGTTAGTGTTCTTCTCTTAAGAACACTTCCTCAGTTAATCATTTGCAGCTGAACAAATCTCTCAGACTTGGCTTAGGGAAACTGGCCTAAGACAGACACATGCTCATAAAAATGTGTTAGCCTTTGAGAGTGCTCTGTCTAGCCCAACACTCCACAGCCTGGGAAGAATTCAGTTAAATTTTATATAATGCTTCATTGTTAGAGGTTACTCAAATCCTGGTTGTTTTCCTATAGTTGGAATTATAATTCTGAAAACATTACTCGTGTATAATGAAAAGGATTAATATTCGTAGGATGCTTATTATTTGGATAGGCTATGAAATAACCACTCTTAGTCTATCAAACTGTTAACTGGTGTGACACTGTGGGGAGAACAAAACTGGTTCTCTAAATAGTTGCCTTTTTGTATAGTCATGAGTGGCCTGATTACTAAGTGTGGTGCTGTGGTTACACCAGCTTCCCTGGGTATATCAGAGCTCAAACTATTCTTATGGCCACATACAGGGAGCCTACGGTTCAAACGTTATAGCTCCTGGAAACCAAGCAGCTTCATGTTTTTCTCCCCAGAGTCTGTGTCTTGGCAGCCTTGGGTTTATCTAGGAAATTGGGAACTTAACATCCCTTAGAAAAATAGTTTGAAATCAGGTAGAATTAGATAATCGACCCATGTTAGGTTGCTTCAAGTCAGGATTATAAACATATGTTCTAAATACAAACCAATAGAGTCAAAATAAAATTTGGAGGTGAGGAAAGGGGTGAAATCAGAGATGACTTTAAGATTTCAAACCTAGGTCATCATGAGTTTATTCTCTTTATGAAAGATTAGCTGGAGTTTTAAAAGTCTGGTGATTTTTAAATCCTAAAGAACAGTATAGTTTCCCTTCTCCCTGTGGAGTTTTACCCCCTGCTCCTCTGGTCACCTTCCCGATGGATCCCTGTGGTGCCAGCAGGAATGACCTGCTAGGGAATGCAGCAAGCTCCCAGGGCCTTTCTGCTGCTTCCTCTACCACTGTATTTCACTTGGCTTTCTAAATCACTCAGCGCCAGGTAAACACTACAGGTGAAGAGTGGTGAAAGGGAGCGCTGATTACTGAAGTGGTCTGGAGAGGGAAAGTACTGGTCGTCACATGGACAAACTTCATTGTTTTCTAAAGATGGCCTGGAAGTAGACTTTGCCACTGCTTCCTCCACAAACAGCTCTTCGTAACATGGGCCGCATGAAATCAAAGCAAACTTTCCCATTTCCTAACGTATATGAAAGTGAGAAGCAGCATGAGAGTGAAGAACCCTTTATGCCAGAAGAGAAATGTCTACCTAGGACGCCTTCTCCAGTTAATGTCAAAGAGGAAGTGAAGGAACCCCCAGGGACCAATATTGTGATCTTCGAATATGCACACCACCTGTCCCAGAATATCTTGTGTGATGCCTTGCAGCAATGGGCATGCAATAACATCAAGTACCATGACATTCCATACTTTGACAGTGAGGAGCCTTGAGGCTGTAGGATGACAACACTTTGTGGAGGTGCTAGTTTGAACACGTGCAACAGCAAAACCTGGTGTGCAAAAGTACAAATAACTATCTGGATTTCAAAACGTGTCTACAATAATATCACTAGTGTTAGAACACCTAGGATGAAATGCATTTGAAGAACGTCTACATTAACAGCAATTTCTGTTTAGTTTTAGGTTTTAGTCATCTGAAGGGCTAAACAGAGGTCCTGTGACACCCAATAATGAGCTGTATCTCATAGCACTTCTTCCTAAGTAATGGCATCACCAAAGAAAATGCTAAGGAATAAAAACTGCCCCAAATACTAAAAAAGAAAAAAGAACAGTATAGTTTCAGGGAAAAAAAGCTGGAAATTTTATTGTTTTAGGCTTCTCTAGAGGACAGAATTAATAGGATAGATGTATATATAAAAGGGAGTTAATTAAGGAGTATTGACTCATGATCACAAGGTGAGGTCCCACAATAGGGGACTGCAAGCTGAGGAGCAAGGAAGCCAGTCTGAGTTCCAAAGCTGAAGAACTTGAAGTCTGATGTTCTAGAGCAGGAAGCATCCAACATGAGAGAAAGATGGAGGCCAGAAGACTAAACCAGTCTAGTCTTTCCATGTTCTTCTGCCTGCTTTTATTCTGGCTGCACTGGCAGCTGATTAGATGGTGCCCACCCAGATTGAGGGTGGGTCTGTCTCTCCCACTCCACTGACCCAAATGTGAATCCCCTTTGACAACACCCTCACAAACACACCTGGGAACAATACTTGGCTTCCTTCAATCCAACCAAGTTGACACTCAATATTAACCATCACAGTTATTTACTAGGAACAAATTCATTGTTTCAAAGACAAACAAGATGAAAGTAGAAAGGTTTATTCTGTCTCATTGCACTGCTGGATAATGCAGCCACAATTAAGAAACAAAGGCAAAGGAATGATTACTGCAAGGAAGAGGATGGAGGAGCTATGTGGAGGACTAAAATTTGATAGGATGTTGGGTTAGGGAAGGAAAACACATAAGTAAATACTAGTTACAGGTGATATTACAGTTCTTGCCTTATTAGGTGGTAAGTTCATAGGTGTTGTATTATGTAAAACAATGCTTAAATTGAATATATAAGCCATAAATTGAGTTTAAACTAATTCTTCTCAACTAAAAGAGAAAGAGATGGAAAGGAAGAGGGAGGGAGACAAGAGACAGAGACAGAGAGACAGAGAGGCAGAATATGAATGTAGCAATTGTGTCTCACAGGTATTGAAGCTTATATATATTTGTGAATTTACTTGGTGGTGTTTTACTTAAGACAAGCAAGACAGCACAGCTGTATAGAGAACAGTAACAAAATAAAAAGGGTGAATAAAAATACGTATTTCAAGGTATTCATTAACTTATATGGTCTTTTTTATTTCCACATATAACCACTTTGAAAACTAGTGATGCACAAAAAGTTGAGACATGATTATTTTAAACTTTTCAACTCTGCCGCTTCCTGGTTGTTTCTTGAACACTTTTCCTAAACTCTCTCTAATTTAGTTGCTTCATATGAAACTGGAGACTATAATCCCTCACAGGGTGCTGGTAAGAAAGTAAGGTAACGCCTGCACAGTGCCTGGGGCACAGCATGTGCTGAACAAATAGTAGGAGTTGTTCTTAGTATGTTATTGCAACAGAATGCCCAGCCTAATACTCCAGAAGCCCCAGAATTGGTAAAAAGGTATGAAATAAAACGGAAGGGGATGTTAGCCTCATAATCCAAATGAAGCTGAAAAGAATTAGAGGCCTGATATCTCCTTCTAGGGCTTATTATATGTGGGCAGCCAGACTGGTTTTGCTAACCTCCTGTACTCCCCAAGATTCCCTTCCCTGGTCAAGGACATTCAATCCATCGCTGATTCAATAAATATCCATTGAGCATCTATTCTGTGACAGGTACTGTATTAGGTGCCTAGGATCCAGCAGGGAATAAATAAGACACAGACATAATCAAAAAAACTAGGATATGGGCAAAAGAACGTTTAGACTTTAGGCAGATCTTTAGCTTAGTAGGGTGAGCCTTGGTTTTTCTCTGTGGGATAGGGGAGGGATATTTACGTCTCTTCTGAGTGGAGAAAAAGCAGCGGGCATCAAGAGAGTAGTTCATAAAGATAGGGGTGTCAGGGGAAGTGGATTAGATGTCTGATTAAGCTGATTACACTCAACTGCCCTAGAAATAAGCTTATATAAACTGAAAGTAACCATATAATTATGTGATCTTCCTGGAGTATTGTTATAGGACAGTAAAGTCATTAGAAAAAAAAACATACAAAATACAATATTCCATGGTTCCACAAACCCATTATATCTTTGTCAACATCATCATTGTTGTCATTGTTCTTATTGCCATAACCTTCATCATTACCCAGACCATTAAATTAGGGGAAGGGCACCTCTTGCCAAACGGAAGGTAATTTGAGGTTTAGGGAAGCCAAAGAAAAACTCTTGTTTGGGAAATAAGAGTTTTGCAGTTGTGCATGAAGATGGCTGCTCGCTTACCCTGTCCCCCAGTATCTAGCTCCCTGAGCAGAGGTCTCAGGTCACTGCAGCAATCCACAGGGGGAATCATGGTTCATTTTTCAGGTCAGTTTGAAAACATATCTGCAAGAATTTAGACAGGGGATTAATGCCTTCCACAGAGCTGGTGTGACTTCACTTCTCTGGCAAGAACACAGATGGGTAAACAAGTACAAATTCCATTTTTTTTTTTTTTTCATAAAAAGGGGTTAGGAATCTGCACAAAGTAACTTTCTTCTCAAAACAACATATGCTTGAGTCTTGTCCTTGTTTCTCCAAGGGATTCTTGGGCCATTGGGAAATGAAGCTGTGGGAACACAGTGGTCAGAATTTGTCCAGCATTCAGAAGCTGCCCCCTCAGTGCCCTGGCTGGGTCCAGGTGGGCTCCCTTATTGGGTTTCTCAGAGATGGCAACCTCTAAAGACTCAGAGATGGGTGCAAGACATAAACACTTTAGCGTGAGGTATTGTGGAGTCCTTTTAGAATTATGGAGGCTGCTTTCTTGCTGAGGAAAATTGGGTTCAGATACCACATGTGGTTTTTCTGGATTCTTACCTGTCATTTTAAGCAAGAAAGAAAATCTTGCCATGGCTCAAGCTTTGCCATGCTCACTTGGAGAGTTTTGATTGGTGTCTGGGATTATACATAAAGTTAAAGACAATTTGGATGGCCTCCCCAAATAACAACAAATTAAGGAAAGAAGTGAGAGAATCCCAAAATAAATTTCTCTGTTACTTGCTTGCATGAAAGGAGCATTGGCTCTCTAGTCAATATCATTTCTCTTAGCTATTTGTCTTTGTGACTCTGTAACTAAATGTCCCAACTTATGTTCATCCCTATTGAATTCATCTTCTATTTTTACCCTTGCTCATCCCTCAAGTTTCAATTGAATGTGTTTATTAAGTGGTAGACTTGGTGTACACAAATATACATACAAATAAACACACTCTTAATTATACATACCCTCACCCCAGCCAGTGTTAAAAAAAGCATAAAACAATTTTCTGGAATCTGATTGCTCAAATCAACCCTGCAGAGAGATGATACCATCAATTTTGTGTGGAAGCCTTATAGTGAGTGAAGACCAGCTGACTGAGCAATTAAAAATAAATAAAATCTCAAATTTTAAAGCCACTATTTTAGCATTTCTTTTTTTTTCCCATTTATTTATTTTATTGCATTTTAGGTTTTGGGGTACATGTGAAGAACATGCAAAATTGTTGCATAGGAACACACATGGCAGTGTGATTTGCTGCCTTCCTCCCCATCACCTACATCTGGCATTTCTCCCCTTGCTATCTCTCCCCAGCTCCCCACCCCCCACTGTCCCTCCCCTATTTCCCCCCAACTGACCCCAGTGTGTAGTGCTCCCCTCCCTGTGTCCATGTGTTCTTATTGTTCAACACCCGCCTATGAGTGAGAACATGCGGTGTTTGATCTTCTGCTCTTCTGTCAGTTTGCTGAGAATGATGGTTTCCAGGTTCATCCATGTCCCTACAAAGGACCCAAACTCATCGTTTTTGATGGCTGCATAATATTATTTTAGCATTGCTTAAGCGTTTTGGTCTCAAAACCCCTTTACACTTTTAAAAATTATTGAGTACCCTCAAGGGCTCATATTTATGTGTGATGTAGCTCTCTATAGCTATAATATTAGAAATAAAAGCAAAAAATTTAAAAGATTTATCAGTATATTTAAAAATAATAAATTCATATCTTAATATAAATATTTTTTCTAAAAACACCATTATTTTCCCAAACTAAGAAAATATACTGAGAAGAGTGGCATTGTTCTATATTTTGTAAACCTCTTCAACCTCTAGCTTCATGGAAGATATCTGGAATCAAACAGCTGCTTCTGCATTCTATCTCTTGAGATATACTGGTTTGGTTGAAATATATGAAACACTCAGGCACACAGATACTTACATTGGCAAAGACAGGGACCTTGTGGAATCCCTAAAACCATTTTGGCAACTTTCAGGGGTCCTTAGACTCTACTTTGGGAACTGCTGCTTGGTCTAACACCCAGGACTATCAAGGATTCTGACCAGAATGCTGAGGAGTCACCTCATCAAAACAAAAATGTGTCCACTGGGCCCCATCATGCAGCAGGCTGCACACAGAAGGGAATTCTGACGAAGCACAGGAGGCAGTCTCAAGGCCAGGCATGGTGACTCACACCTGTAATCCCAGCACTTGAGAGACTGAGGCAGGAGGATTGCTTAAGTTCAGGAGTTCAAGACTAGCCTGGGAAACAGAGTAAGACTCTGTCTCTGTAAATATAAAAAATTAAAAAATATTAGCTGGGTATGGTGGTGCATACCTACAGTCCCAGCCTCGCCAGAGGCCTAGCTGGGAGGATCATGTCCGCTCAGGCATCGCGAGCAACATCCTGGGTGATAGAATACACGAAGTGCTTAAAAACAGTGCTGGGAGGCTGAAATGTTTATTTTTAAA